CCTCAAAATGCAGCAATTGATTTTAATTGAAAACAAAATGAATAACAAATTAACATGTTTGCCAATTGGCATATTTTATGCATAGTAATCAAATAAGAGTAAATATTATCCAAATGCTGACAATCATAAGTATAGTAGCAATTTGTGTCTTCCATTCGAATTGAAGATTACATATTATTATAGAATCATGCCATCAGGATACCAACAAATATTCAGGTCACTGGATATACCGGTATTTGCAAGATAGAAAATGGTAAATTATTTCTTCTTATCACACAATATGAAAAAGTCATATCTATTTAATTTTAATTTAGTGACTTTCCAATGCAGTAATTCATTTTACATTATATACAATGGATAGTTCTCTCCCATGATGCATTGCATATGTGCAGTATGCAAACTTCGTTTATGTAAAAATTCCTTAGTTCAGGTTGCTGTTTTCTCTAGTGTCTTTGATTTCCAAAAAATAAGATTCATTTACTTTTAAGACGCAAAACTATTTTAAGTAATACACTAAAAGTGGGAGTAGCTAGAAATAAATGTACATGACTATTTTTGTGCAAACTGAAATCTCAATATAACTTTACCATAGTAAATATTGATATGCAATTGTTATAGAATACATATTGACATTTTTAGGTATTTCAAATAGCATTTCTTTTCCTTTCTGATCCAATTGACTTTTTGTTTTTTAGAATAATGTTTTTTAGGAGTGTAGATATTAATCTGTCGTAGTACAAATGGAAGAGCTATATATCTGCCAATTTGTGTATAATGAAATATAAAAATTATATTTTCAAAATTTGCTATTTTCATTTGATGCAAATGTCTCTGTTCGTTTCCCCATGATGGAAAAATACACAAAATGTGAGGCACCAAGAATTCTGTTATATCATTGACCACCAGAGGAAGCAACTAGAAAGTTGTACAAACACAAATTATAATCTTAGAAAAAACAGTTTTTATGAAATTTAATTTACTGGTACTCAAAGAATGATTTTCCCAACTCTTTGGTGTGCAATCTCCAGTATTTATTTAAAGTGGTGCAATATACTCAACCGCATCAGTCTGCCATTTTTGAAAGTCACCATTTCAACCTGCATTTATATTTTATACATGTAACATAGAAAACAAATATGTTATCAGATGAGTTTATGTGATCACTGTACAATGAAGACTATTAAGTATTGTACTAATATTATAATGTTAAATTATTTTCTTTTTTTAAATGTTTTTGTACCAGGCAGCAGTTCTGGACATTGAATGCCACTGTTGTCTCTCATGACTTTTTTCAGCTCCGCTGTTGACTTTGTCGAGCGGAGCTTATCATACGAGTGATTGTCCAGCATCCGTCTTCGTCCACAGTCCGTGTCAATGTTTTACTTTTTTAACTTCTTCTTGAAAACTGTAAGCCTGAATGCTTTGATACTTGGTGTATATGTACCCTGTGTAGACCTCTCTCAGATTTGTTCATTTCATGATGATATCTTCAATTCCCTAAATTTGATGAATATTTTTGTAATTTTTGGTAAAAAGTCCAATTGCTTTGATATCACATATACATGTGTATAGGTACTACTATAGGTACTACATGTGGACCTCTCTCAGATTTGTTCATTTTGTAATGATATCTGTAATTCTCTAATTTTGGTGAATATTTTTGTCATTTTTGGTAAAAAGTGATATTTTCGACTTCTTGTTAAAAACCACAAGTCTGATTGCTTTTATATTACATATATAGGTACTACATGTGGACCTCTCTCAGATTTGTTCATTTTGTGATGATATCTTCAATTATCTAATTTTGATGATTATTTTTGGTGAAAAGTGATATTTTTGAATTCTTGTTGAAAACAGCAAGTCTACATATTGTTCATTTTCTAATATCTACAGTTCTTTAATTGAAATGTGCATTACTAACAGCGGAGCTATCTCAGCCGAGAGGCTGCTTGTTTCACTAGCAATTGCTGACATATTGTGTATTTTTGCCACAGAAGTCATATTCATGTTTGGGACTACGTGACAAGGCTGTGCAGCCATCTCTCTATCAAATAGCAATTTAATATGCTATCCTGGGTCAACCAGACCCAGTCGAACACAAGTCCCTGCGACCTTAACCAAGTAAATGAATCTCCGCCAGTGGAATTGGCCTTTGAGTCTGCAGGGTAGGGGGTTGACCCTTTTTGGTGTTCAGTCTAAGAAAATATTTTAACTTAGATCTACCTATTGGAAGTCTGATGCAACAACCAGTGACTGGTATTTTATTGAAATGGAGGGGGAAATTCATTACTGGGACAAAAGTTACTGACATTTATCAAAGACTGAGTTTTGCTGTGTGTAAATAAACCATTTACTTACATTTACTATTCTATATTAAGCTTGCCTTTTGAAAGTCTGTACAACTTCAAATTCAATATAATATAATTGAGAAATCTAGCACACTGCATATCAGTGTTGCAATCAAAAGAATCAATCACAGTCATTAATCTAATATCCTAATGATGTAATATTGTTTTTATTACCTAAAACACAAAGTAGCTGCGAGATGCATTCTTTTTCTGACTGGAAAATTCCTATTTAAATGCTTGACTACAATGTATTGTTATACTTTTTTCTTGAATTGAGTTTAAATCACAACTTTGCTTATCTTTTTGTCATGTACTATATTTCCATTACTACACTAAATATATCTTTTATAGATGCATAATATCCCCTGCATTTTAATGCATCCTGAAGTGAGAATTATTGTAAAATGTAGTTCCCATTTTGTTTTTTATCAAGAATGTTTTAAGCCGCTGCTTCATTGATGTGATTCGTGAACTGGTTTTCATACAATCACAGATTTAAAATAACATGCGTTGTTTTTTTATTGTTCGCTGAATATCTTCCTGAATATAATTTTAAAGTATCAAAGTAATACAGTTTTGTTTATATTTTAAATCATTTAATGTAAGTTTAATTCCACAACATTGTTCAAAATTGTGCCTTCAGTGTTGTCTTCCAAAAACAGGACTTTAGTTTCATGCAAAATAGCCAAATGTATTTATATATACATGACCTGTCATTCATTTCGCTTTTCTCATAACAAATATTTGACCAATTCTGAAAAGAATTTCACAAAACAAATTTAAACACCTGCAAGCACTTTTAGTAAATTTTTTTATTTAATCGGGATTAATATAATAATTTAAAAAGTGTCTTTCCATCATTTTTAGTTATGAGAGGGATAGAAATCAATATGTTGGTACTATTATGTATTTATTTACAAATAAATTATATTATTTACAATAATACAAACAAGTTATAATAAAGTTTTCTGTTTTACATATCATAGATGTACAATTTATTGACTTTTTAACCCCTGCTTGATAATCTGCCTCAGTTGTCACACCAAATAAACAATTTACATGAATACTATGCTTAATA